GACTTTTCTACATACTAATTTAAGTAAATGGTATGACCTTTAATATAAGTATAGATTCAAGCCCTCAAATGAAAAAGTTAAAAATTGAGGCCCTATAATGACACAATACCTAAAAATGAGGCCCTATAATAGAATTTTCCCATTTAATAAAACCTCTAAAATTTTTCCTCTATTTTCAGTTACAAAATTTATCATTAATATTTTTTTAATTCTCACATTAACACATCCTATTAAGTGTAATCATGTATTTTTTTTATTATATTATATAATAGTTATTGCTAATACCAACTAATAATAATTCAAAATAAATATAAATTACATAATTATAAACAGTTGTTTCAAGTTATTTATATTAACATCAATATTATCTTTTTTTTTTTGTAACTCATGAAAAAATTTATTTAAAAACAATTAGTAAATTGTTTTATTAGCATAGTCAAACAACTTTAGAAGCCTATAAATAATTGGTTTTTTAATAATAACAATAATAGTAATAATAATCAAACTGTTATTATCTAATAATAATAAACAATTGTTCATAATAATAAAATCGTTAATTTATTTTTTTTTAATGATAAAATTTTTGAAAATATAATATATTTATTATATAAAAGTTTAATATTAAATTCTCAAATATTACTTATTAATATTGTTTTGTACATATATGAAATGAAAAATGAAAAGTAGAAAAACTGGGTGACCAACAGTTCTGCTGAGTATAAATATCAAATTACTTGAATTAAAAAAAAAAATAATTATCAAATTACTTATCTTCATATTTTTTTCATCAAAATTGAGAAGGTTTTCTCCAATCCTGCTGACCCAAACGTCGCCCATTCCGATTTGCCGCTGCTCCAACGCCGTGCCGCCAACAGCATCGTCTTCCTCGAGCTCAAGGTAACCCCTTCTCGAACCGCACACCAGTTTAAAATTACAGAACTTGGATCAGAATTAGGGTTTAGAAATTCTTCGCGCACGTGAATGTTATCTACTCCAATGTCCTCCGATGATATTCTGCACTCCAATAATTCGGTGGTTTGTGAGCATCCCCTGTGTTGCATGATTTGGGGAAATTGATTGGTTTTATTTAATTACGTTCTCATTTTCGTTTTCTTCCATTTCATCTCCAGTCAATGGGATCAAATGGGGAGCATAGTTTGATGATTGAAGAAAACGAGACTGAGTCGATGCAAATTGATCCGGGAAGAAGCCGGTTCCCTTGCTGCATTGTATGGTCCCCCCTTCCCTTTATGTCATGGTTTTTCCCATGTATTGGACACATTGGAATCTGTAGGGAGGATGGGGTCATATTGGATTTTGCCGGGCCTAATTTTGTTTGTGTCGATAGTTTTGCGTTCGGTGCCCCAACTCGCTACATTCAACTGACCAAAGAGCAGGTAGAGTTGATTAATTTTGACCGTGATGATCGATTTTCATTCCTAATGAAAAAGCGTCATTTTACAGAAATGGACCACTATCCTGTTTGTTTTGTGTGTATCGAGCCTTAGGGAGCTTTTAGGTGAAGTAGTTAATCTTCGTAAAAGTGCACGAGTTGAGTATTGCAAGTTGATTTAGTTCTCAAGTTTTTCTGTGTTTGCAGAAGTTTCTGATGTATTAGTCCTTGCACAGACTGAAGTTAAAAGTTGTAGGCTTTAATTTGTGTTTTATGGAATTCAGGCCAGAAATAGAATCCGAAATTTAAAGCGCCCGTTTGTGGCTTATCAGTTCTGGTTATTCATGAAGATCAGAAGCAGAAATGGCCATCTGAGAAATAGTATTTTTTTTCAGCCAAAAGCTTACAGCCACTTCTTTTAGTGTCATTTGCTATTTTTGCCCTTTCCCAACACGTAGTCCTATTTCACTGTGATATACACCACGATAAATCCGGTCTGAAACCATTAGTCGAAATATTATTAACAATTTGTTTTATGTTCCTCCTATCAAATTTTTCTTGTTCTTTGTTTTTTT